CTTTCAAAATTTACAAAAAAAAAAAAAAAAAAAATCTAGATTATCCTTTGCTACTTAACTTTTCTTGACTTTAACATACTTTACTTAACGCTCTGTCTGCGCATGCTCTCAGGGAGATGCATGTGACTCGGGAGAAGCAGCGTGACATCGCGAGCGAGCAAACACGCGAGGACGTGTTTTCTGCAGATGAGTTTCTGTGTGTACGCTCTCTCACATTTAGAATAATCTGGATTCAGAACATCAGATTCAGAACGAGGTAAGAACAACTTTAAATGAATCCGTGTTCGTGACAACTCTTTCTGCACGAATAAATACATACAATGTATGGAATTCAATGAAGTCAATAAAGTCCACTAACAATACAGCAGACGAGTCACCACCAGAGTCTGCTGGTGATTTTTGACGTCTTTGGAGCTTAGCTCTCAAAAGTTACAATTCATTTTGTGAAATGAAAAAGTTTTGATGTTTATGGACAGGAAACATAATAAATAGAGTATTAAAAAAGAGAAAGAGAATAACAAATCTGAAATTTAAATGGAGAGAAGCCTATGACCATATACATACATATAGGCAGTGTTGGGGGTAACGCATTACAAGTAACGCGAGTTACGTAATCAGATTACTTTTTTCAAGTAACTAGTAAAGTAACGCATTACTTTTTAATTTACAAGAGAATATCTGAGTTACTTTTTCAAATAAGTAACGCAAGTTACTTTTTTTTTTCCAATTTATTGATAGACAGCTCTTCTGTCCCCATGTTGAAAGAAATCAGAAGATGTTACTGTAGTTCTAAAATAAATATGAATATGCATTAATTCATCTCACTCACAAAAAAAACACAGATTCAGTATTCCTCAAAATGAATAAAAATAATGCAACTCAGAATATGACACAAACCTGCAATAATTAAATGTTAAATAACACAAATATCCTTTATGTATTTAATCCCATTCTATTAACCAATGTCTTTGCTTCTGACCTTCGATGATCCAGTTCAACCATACTAATAAGCAAAAACTACTCTAGACAAACATTTGGATTGTAATGCATTACTTTTAAAAGTAACTTTCCCCAACACTGCATATAGGCCTATGCAAATTTCAGAATCATGAAATATTTAAATGTACAGAAGAACACAAACCAAACCAAAACTGTTAACATAAAGTATATAAATTGTGAAAAACAAGTTAAAACAATCCAGCATCATTTTCCTCGAAAGCAAACTTTACCAGCTCTTACCCAAGATTCTAAAAAGAATTCTGATTGCAGTTGCATTGCCTCAATGCTTTCTTAATCAAACCACTGTAATAGTGTTTCCTAATTAGCTCCAAGTTCACAGCACAGATCTGAACCTGAATCACTCTTCCTGAGAATGCTCATACACTGTATTGTCTGTTTTCTTATATTAAATATAATTATATTACCTTGAAGCATCCATTCCTCCACAGTTACCATTTAAGTGCCTAATTTAGTAATCTAGGGTTAATCTTTACAAGGTTACAAACGAAGAGTTTATTTGCAAAAACAGATAAAAATAATGTTTTTTATTACAGTTTTTCTCGATTGCTAACACACTAACTGATTCGTTTGGCACAATTTTCCAAACCATTCATACAGTTCTTGAAACAAAGACAAGTTTCTCAAAACTTTTAACACATTTCACCTTTTTTCACACACTCCAATTTGCTTAGTGTTTTCTGCAAAACTCTACACAAGAATGGCATCATTTTGCACAGGTTTAACCGTGTTCTCATGTAGAAAACACAAACACATAATATAACTACCTCAATAATCACAAAATGAACACACATAGCACACATTTATCCAAGTGTAAATGTTTACACTTGGCAAGTGTTGACACTTATCCATTAGATTGAGCGGCCATGTAAAGTTGCTAATACTTACATATTTCAGAAGCCATATTTGAGGTCAATGAATGATAGGCGATCGTTTGGATGTCCTGCCCGATGTATTGTATTACCATAGACTAGCCGTTAACCATCTGTTAGTCACGGACTGCGTGCCTTCGCCTGTGGATTTTTTTTTTCTGCGACTAATAAAATTATGGTCGACCAAGCTTCTTCTGGTCAACTAACGATTAGTCGACTATTAGGGGGCAGCCCTAATATATATATATATATATATATATAATGTATATAATCAACACTGCTTCAGACACACGTGATCTCTTCAAAAACATTAAATTCTCTCCTCTATCCCCCTCCACCACCTCCCACCAACCTTTTTACACCTGATGATTTTGCTACATCCTTCACAGTCAAAATTAAAACCATCAGCAGTCGGTTTTCAGCTCTGCTCACACAGGAACTCAACCTCACCCACTGCTAAAACTCTTCTCTCCTCCCTCTCTCCCCTCACTGAGGCAGAAATATCAAAACTTCTCTCCAGCCATCCTACAACCTGCCCTTTAGACCCAATCGCCTTACACCTTCTTCAAGCAATCTCTCCTACACTCTTACCTGCACTCACACACAACATAAACACATCTTTTCTTACAAGCATTTTCTCCACTCAGGTAACCCCTCTGCTCGGGTAACCCTACTGCAACCCCACAAAACCTCCATTAAACACTTCACTTGTAGACAATTACAGACCTGTCTCTCTCCTTCCATTCATAGTGAAAACTCTTGAACGAGTTGCTTTCAACCAGATATCATTATTTCTTTCATAGAATAACCAACTGGACGCTAACCAAGGTTTCAGAAGCGGCCACTCAAGTGAGACGGCATTACTGTCGGTCACAGAAGCCCTGCAGATTGTGAAAGCTGATTCCAAATCAGTTCTCATTCTGCAGGATCTATCTGCTGCCTTTGATACTGATTTGATTTCCCACCTCCATACGGAATGCTGAAAACTCATCTCTTTCGCAGATATTTGTCTGCATTCTAACTTGAAAAGAAAACAAACAAACAAATAAAAACTTCCTTACTTCCTCCGGGCTCTAGATTGTACTAATCTGAATGATGTCTGAAACTTGTATTGCAAGCACTTCCTGTGTCTATTTGCCTCCTTATGATGAGTTGCTCATTGTATTACTCATTTGTTAGTCACACTAGATAAAAGGATCTGCTAAATTAAGAAATGTAAATATAAATGTTATGTTTAATAATAATAACAAACAACCATATTAAATCATATTGGAATATTGCACAAATGAAACTCTTACCCATTTTCTGTAGCTTGGTTTGTATTGTCAGTGCTCACAAAAACTTGGTCAAATAATCAACAGCTGGAAACAGGATCTCCTCTACTTATATGAATAGCACACGGGTGGATGGAGGATGTTACATGTGCACTTCGTGGTTGATTTACTAAGAATAACTGCATGATTTGACAGGGTATTTTTCTTTGGCCTATATATATCTCACAAACAAAAGAAAAATGCCCAGTCTATATATTTATATATATATATAATCATGGGAATACATTTCCTCTAACAGTTGGGGGGGGGGACAATAAACATAAAATTTCTCAAGAGCCATTTTTGAAGGGGACACAATTAATACAGCTAAAATTGTACTTGGTGGGACAAGTATACACAGCCTTACTACTATTAGTGCAGCAGGGAGACTGTGCCAAATTAGACAACTTAAAGCTGTTGTGGTCGTGCCGAGACAGCGCTCGTGTCCGTTGTAGACATTACTATCCATCAAGCAGGTAACGTTATTATTGCTAACATAGCAGACTCATCTAAAAATACATTGGCATCATCTGTATCACAGTTTTTCTCTATTGCTAACACACAATTCATGAAACAATTCACCATTTTCTCACAACTATAAACACAATCTCAAAACTACACACAAACTTGCGCAAACTTCTAACTTCCAGGTCAAAATCAAACATTTTAGTCAAAAACATGTTCTCTTTTGTCAGACTCAAACTTTGGCCTCAGATGATACACAAACCTGTCAAATACACAGACTATTTTCCTGCCTAGAGAACACTAGTGAGATCAATTCAAAACACTGTTACAAAAAACTCCTTTTGGGAAACAGGAATCCTTTTGCTAGTCAATGTCTGTTACAGTATATGACATAAATAGAGGGGTGCAGATACAGTAAAATTCAGCAATAAGCTGTGAGAAAACTTTACTTTCATTACACTACTGTAAAGAGATCTTACAGTAGATGAAAAGCACTACAAGAGAAAAGTTCAAAGACCAAATATATACAGTAAACAAAAATATACAGTGAATACAGTAAACACACATTGGAATAAAATTAATGAATTCATTCAGCATCCTCTGCCAAATTCCATTACAGTATTGGTAGTATCCTTATTACTGTATGGGGAAGTAGTGGCCTAATGGTTAGAGAGTCGGACTTGTAACCCAAAGGTTGTGGGTTCGAGTCTTGTACTGGCAGGGATTGTAGGTGGGGGAGTGAATGTACAATATCATGACTGAGGTGCCCTTGAGCAAGGCCAACTTCCCTTATGGTCAGTCCATGCAGAAGAACATGGTCAACTAGAGTGCTTTGTATTTCATCAGGAACAAATTACCTTTGACCCCTCCTAT